CTCCCGCTGGGGCCTTCGGTTGAGCTCCCTCTGGGGCCACGAATTCTGTGAGGGATGTGCAAAAATGGGGCGGCGGTGCCATGCGGGCGCCCCCACTGGGGCCTTCGGTGGAGCTCCCTGTGGGGCCGCAACCGTGTGAGGGGTGTGACAAAATGGGGCGGCGGTGCCATGCGGACGCTCCCGCTGGGGCCTTCGGTTGAGCCCCTTGCCACGACAAGTGTGAGGTGTGTGCAAAAGGGGGCGGCGGTGCCATGCGGACGTTCCCGCTGGGGCCTTCGGTGGAGCTCCCTATGGGGCCACGAACCGTGAGAGGGGTGTGCCAAAATGTGGCGGTGGTGCCATGCGGACGTTCCCGCTGGGGCCTTCGGTGGAGCTCCCTATGGGGCCACGAACCGTGTGAGGGGTGTGCCGAAATGGAGCGGCGGTGCCATGCGGACGCTCCCGCTGGGGCCTTCGGTTGAGCTCCGGGGTCACGAACACTGTGAGGGGTATGCCGAAATGGGCAAGCGGTGCCGTGCGGACGCTCCCGCTGGGGCCTTCGGTGGAGCTCCCTCTGGGGCCACGAACCGTGTGAGGGGTGTGCCAAAATGAGGCGGCGGTGCCATGCGGACGCTCCGGCTGGGGCCTCTGGTGGAGCTCCCTATGACGATGGTGACGATGATGATGACGATGACGAGGCGGGTGGGAGGAGGGAGGAGGGGGAGGAGGGAGGGGGCAGCGGGAAGGAAGGAAGGCACGGTTGGTCTCTTCACAAAGAGGACCCAACACCACAGGATAGTTGGGAACAAAAAAGGCCACCAGAGGCCCCCGAGAGGCTCCCAAGGCAGCGCGGTAGACAATCATGGCGGACCAGAGCAGCACGGCAGTCCAGCTGAGAAATGACCTCCACACGGCAGGCCAGTGGTTTGCCGTGCTGGTCGGATTTGCCGTGTTGGTCTGCCGTGCTAGTCTGGTCTGTCGTGTTGGTCTGCTGGTCTACCGTGCTGGTCATGGCTTACAGGGGAGAGGGATTCTTGCGGCGTGGGGTATGATGGAATGGGTAAACCCCTCCCAGAAGGGGCAAGAGGGGGCTTTGGTGGGATCCCGCTGCAGCACGCCCCGTCACCTGTGCCTGTGCAACAGGGCAGCAGGAAGACGGCCGAGTGTAAGTCGTCTTCGTCCACGCGGTAGGAAGGAGGTCGAGTTCACGCCCCGCGGCAGTTCAGCGAGTGGTGTGGAACTGGGGAGGGTCATGATCTCGACCTCGTCTTCGTCCGCACGAAGGTGAGGAGGAGGAGGCGACAATGAGGACGAGAAGGAGGAGGCTTCTTGGGACCCTCTTGGGGCATCCTGGGAGCCTCCTGAGGGCCTCTTAGGGGCCTCTTGGAGCCTCCTGGGGTCTCTTGGGGGCCTCTTGGGGACTCAGCTGTGGACAGGCACTTGTACTGACACTTCGCGGCGAGCCAAGGCATATACGCAAGTAGATTCTGCCTTCGCGCTCGGGGACATTTTGGCTCGAGCTTTGGCGGCACACGAGCTGGACCAGACGCGCTGCGGGACCGGGCAGCGATGAGCTTCATTGGCGCCCCTGGCGGATCCTTCATGGCAGCGGGCCCGCACGGTGGCTTCGCCGCGGGCTCCCGCGGGGCCTTCGCCAGCGGGGGCGCCTACCACGGCATGGGCCATATGGGCTACGCCGGTGGTGGAGCGGGGTGCTGCGGAGGCGTGGGCTGCGGCAACAGCTGCGGCGCGGACGGGTGCGGAGTGGGCGTGGCGCCGGCGTGCGGTGACGCGTGCTGCGGGGTCGCGGGCGCCAGTTGCGGGGGCATCGCTGGAACGACGATGTCGTATGTGGGCATGGGCGGTGATTACATCGCCACGACCACTTACCAGTACGTTGGCCAGGGTGCTGGCACCTTCACCGTGGTGCCGATCCCCGCGGCCGGGTGCAGTCCATGGTGGCTGTGTTGCTTCCTGCCGCTGCTCTTGACCCCCCTCCTCTTCTTCGCGGGGACCACCACCACCACGACCACGACCACAACGACCCCTGCCATCATCACCCTGCCGCCTCCGGACGTCGTGCCTACGCCGCCGCCGAAGCAGTGCTGCATCGACATGTGCAACTGTGCCCGCGATGGGACGCAGTGCGACGATGATTGTGGCTCCGACAAGTGCACCGATTTCGACGACTGTGATGACAAGGGCATCTGCATCACGGGCACTCCCGAATGCGAGAACCCCACGCCGGCGCCGCCGCCACAGGGGCCCCAGAGGCACTGCAGGATCTTCGGTGACCCGCACGTGGTGACGTTTGACGGGCAGTCGGCGAGCTTCTACTCCCAGGGCGAGTACTGGACTGTGAAGAGCACCACCGTCTGGATGCAGGGCCGCTACATGCCGACTCCTGTGACCAATGGCCTCTCCGTCATGAAGGAGATCGCGATCGGCGGCCCCTTCCTGGAGGGCAAGGACGGCACCAAGAACGTCCTCCGCATCTCCTCCCTCAGGGCGACCTTCAACGACATCCCCATCATCTCCGGCTTTCCGGACGCCTGGGAGAACCAGGATCCGATGATTAAGGTTGTCACCGACGGCAGTGGGCAGGTGATGCAATCGAGCCGCCACGGCAAGGACATGCGCGTCGTGCACGTGGACTTGCCGCTCAACGTCCACCTGGAGATCAACCGCTGGAACGAGCCAGGCGAGGGGGACTACATCAACACGATGATCACCATGAGCATGCAGCCCAACCAAGACGGCCACTGCGGAAATTTCAACGGCGTGCTTGAAGACGACACCAGGCCGGCGATCCGCGCCCGCATCGGCACCACGGGTGTCCCGCAACAGGAGCTGCTCTTCCACACCAAGACCCCTGTGACGCCGGCGAACCGGCCCGACCTGAACAACTGCCCGATCGACAAGACTGAGAAAGGAAGGAAGCTCTGCTGGGGAAGGGAAGTCTAAGACCGGCATTCCCAACACAGACTGCATGATCGACGTGTGCTTCGGAGGGGAGCACTTCGCAGACATGACCGACTACGACTAATTAGGCGATGGACGGCGCGCAAAGACACTCGCGAGCCATGCTGCTCTGCCGCATCTCGTGGAGGTGTCATGTCGTGCACTGTAACCAGGCAGAGGCAGACGGTGCCGGCGCCCGAGTCAGGCTCACCACTCTGCCGCATTTTTTTGCTGCGCCCGGGGGGGGGGACAGTCGGCGTTGAAGGTGCTGCCAGCGTCAGGCAAGGAGCTTCTGCGCGAGGCTGGACAAAGCTACCTGTCCTCAGCGGAAAACTCGCAACCGATCCCCTCTTCCCGGAACACAAATTAGCCTGACGAAGACCCAACCACATGTTGCTGCGAGTATCGCGAGGGAGAGGAGACGAAGGAGGGGGGGCAGCAAAAAGGACTGCGGCGTGCATGAGCGGGAGAAAAGCTGACGCGGGCGAGAGGGGAGTCTTCTTGGCTTCGCCCGAGCCCCGTGCGCGGCCCGTGCCATGCGGACGCTCCCGCTGGGGCCTTCGGTTGAGCTCCCTCTGGGGCCACGAATTCTGTGAGGGATGTGCAAAAATGGGGCGGCGGTGCCATGCGGGCGCCCCCACTGGGGCCTTCGGTGGAGCTCCCTGTGGGGCCGCAACCGTGTGAGGGGTGTGACAAAATGGGGCGGCGGTGCCATGCGGACGCTCCCGCTGGGGCCTTCGGTTGAGCCCCTTGCCACGACAAGTGTGAGGTGTGTGCAAAAGGGGGCGGCGGTGCCATGCGGACGTTCCCGCTGGGGCCTTCGGTGGAGCTCCCTATGGGGCCACGAACCGTGAGAGGGGTGTGCCAAAATGTGGCGGTGGTGCCATGCGGCCGTTCCCGCTGGGGCCTTCGGTGGATGCTCCCTATGGGGCCACGAACCGTGAGAGGGGTGTGGGCCGTGAAATGGAGCGGCGGTGCCATGCGACGCTCCCGCTGGGGCCTTCGGTGGAGGCTCCGGGGTCACTGACACTGTGAGGGTATGCGAATGGGCAACGTGCCATGCGGACGCTCCCCGCTGGGGCTTCGGTGGCTCCCTAGGGGGCCACGACCGTGGAGGGGTGTGCCAAAATGAGCGGCGGTGCCATGCGGACGCTGCAAACCAGCCATATCCAAACGGGACCCCCCGACCCCGGGCTCTGCTGGTCCTCTGGTGGAGCTCCCCTATGACGATGGTGACGATGATCGATGACTATGACGAGGCGGTGGGGGAGGGAGGAGGGGGAGGAGGGAGGGGCAGCGGGAAGGAAGGAAGGCACGGTGGTCTCTTCCAAAGAGGACCCAACACCACAGGATATTTTTGGGAGCAACCAAAATGCCACCAGAGGCCCCCGAGAGGCTCCCAAGGCAGCGCGGTAGACAATCATGGCGGACCAGAGCAGCACGGCAGTCCAGCTGAGAAATGACCTCCACACGGCAGGCCAGTGGTTTGCCGTGCTGGTCGGATTTGCCGTGTTGGTCTGCCGTGCTAGTCTGGTCTGTCGTGTTGGTCTGCTGGTCTACCGTGCTGGTCATGGCTTACAGGGGAGAGGGATTCTTGCGGCGTGGGGTATGATGGAATGGGTAAACCCCTCCCAGAAGGGGCAAGAGGGGGCTTTGGTGGGATCCCGCTGCAGCACGCCCCGTCACCTGTGCCTGTGCAACAGGGCAGCAGGAAGACGGCCGAGTGTACGTCGTCTTCGTCCACGCGGTAGGAAGGAGGTCGAGTTCACGCCCCGCGGCAGTTCAGCGAGTGGTGTGGAACTGGGGAGGGTCATGATCTCGACCTCGTCTTCGTCCGCACGAAGGTGAGGAGGAGGACGTACAATGAGGCGAGAAGGAGGAGGCTCCTTGGGACCCTCTTGGGGCATCCGGTAGCCTCCGGAGGGCCCTAGGGGCCTCTTGGGCCTCCTGGGGTCTCTGAGGCCTCTTGGGGACTCAGCTTGTGTACAGGCCTTGGTTTTAACTGACACTTCGCGGCGAGCCAAGGCATATAGCAAGTATATTCTGCCTTCGCGCTCGGGGGCATTTTGGCTCGAGCTTTGGCGGCACACGAGCTGGACCAGACGCGCTGCGGGACCCGGGCAGCGATGAGCTTCATTGGCGCCCCTGGCGGATCCTTCATGGCAGCGGGCCCGCACGGTGGCTTCGCCGCGGGCTCCCGCGGGGCCTTCGCCAGCGGGGGCGCCTACCACGGCATGGGCCACATGGGCTACGCCGGTGGTGGAGCGGGGTGCTGCGGAGGCGTGGGCTGCGGCAACAGCTGCGGCGCGGACGGGTGCGGAGTGGGCGTGGCGCCGGCGTGCGGTGACGCGTGCTGCGGGGTCGCGGGCGCCAGTTGCGGGGGCATCGCTGGAACGACGATGTCGTATGTGGGCATGGGCGGTGATTACATCGCCACGACCACTTACCAGTACGTTGGCCAGGGTGCTGGCACCTTCACCGTGGTGCCGATCCCCGCGGCCGGGTGCAGTCCATGGTGGCTGTGTTGCTTCCTGCCGCTGCTCTTGACCCCCCTCCTCTTCTTCGCGGGGACCACCACCACCACCACGACCACGACCACAACGACCCCTGCCATCATCACCCTGCCGCCTCCGGACGTCGTGCCTACGCCGCCGCCGAAGCAGTGCTGCATCGACATGTGCAACTGTGCCCGCGATGGGACGCAGTGCGACGATGATTGTGGCTCCGACAAGTGCACCGATTTCGACGACTGTGATGACAAGGGCATCTGCATCACGGGCACTCCCGAATGCGAGAACCCCACGCCGGCGCCGCCGCCACAGGGGCCCCAGAGGCACTGCAGGATCTTCGGTGACCCGCACGTGGTGACGTTTGACGGGCAGTCGGCGAGCTTCTACTCCCAGGGCGAGTACTGGACTGTGAAGAGCACCACCGTCTGGATGCAGGGCCGCTACATGCCGACTCCTGTGACCAATGGCCTCTCCGTCATGAAGGAGATCGCGATCGGCGGCCCCTTCCTGGAGGGCAAGGACGGCACCAAGAACGTCCTCCGCATCTCCTCCCTCAGGGCGACCTTCAACGACATCCCCATCATCTCCGGCTTTCCGGACGCCTGGGAGAACCAGGATCCGATGATTAAGGTTGTCACCGACGGCAGTGGGCAGGTGATGCAATCGAGCCGCCACGGCAAGGACATGCGCGTCGTGCACGTGGACTTGCCGCTCAACGTCCACCTGGAGATCAACCGCTGGAACGAGCCAGGCGAGGGGGACTACATCAACACGATGATCACCATGAGCATGCAGCCCAACCAAGACGGCCACTGCGGAAATTTCAACGGCGTGCTTGAAGACGACACCAGGCCGGCGATCCGCGCCCGCATCGGCACCACGGGTGTCCCGCAACAGGAGCTGCTCTTCCACACCAAGACCCCTGTGACGCCGGCGAACCGGCCCGACCTGAACAACTGCCCGATCGACAAGACTGAGAGGGCCAAGGAGCTCTGCCTGGGGAAGTCTAAGACCGGCATTCCCAACAAAGACTGCATGATCGACGTGTGCTTCGGAGGGGAGCACTTCGCAGACATGACCGACTACGACTAGGCGAGGGACTGCGCGCCACCCGCAAGCCATGCTGCTCTGCCGCCTCTCGTGGAGGTGTCATGCCATACACCTGTAACCAGCCAGAGGCAGACGGCGTGGCGTCTCGAGTCAGGCTCACCACTCTGTCGCACTTTTTTTGCTGCGCACCGCCAGCGGCGTTGAAGGTGCGTGGCCAGCGTCAGGGCAAGGAGCTTCTGCCGAGGCTGGACAAAGCTACCGGTCTCAGCGGAAAAGCTCGCAGACCGAGCCCCTCCTTCCCGGAACACCAATTAGCCTGACGAAGGACCCAACCACATGTTGCTGCGAGTATCGCGAGGGAGAGGAGACGAAGGAGGGGGGGCAGCAAAAAGGACTGCGGCGTGCATGAGCGGGAGAAAAGCTGACGCGGGCGAGAGGGGAGTCTTCTTGGCTTCGCCCGAGCCCCGTGCGCGGCCCGTGCCATGCGGACGCTCCCGCTGGGGCCTTCGGTTGAGCTCCCTCTGGGGCCACGAATTCTGTGAGGGATGTGCAAAAATGGGGCGGCGGTGCCATGCGGGCGCCCCCACTGGGGCCTTCGGTGGAGCTCCCTGTGGGGCCGCAACCGTGTGAGGGGTGTGACAAAATGGGGCGGCGGTGCCATGCGGACGCTCCCGCTGGGGCCTTCGGTTGAGCTCCTTGCCACGACAAGTGTGAGGTGTGTGCAAAAGGGGGCGGCGGTGCCATGCGGACGTTCCCGCTGGGGCCTTCGGTGGAGCTCCCTATGGGGCCACGAACCGTGAGAGGGGTGTGCCAAAATGTGGCGGTGGTGCCATGCGGACGTTCCCGCTGGGGCCTTCGGTGGAGCTCCCTATGGGGCCACGAACCGTGAGAGGGGTGTGCCGAAATGGAGCGGCGGTGCCATGCGGACGCTCCCGCTGGGGCCTTCGGTGGAGCTCCGGGGTCACGAACACTGTGAGGGGTATGCCGAAATGGGCAAGCGGTGCCGTGCGGACGCTCCCGCTGGGGCCTTCGGTGGAGCTCCCTATGGGGCCACGAACCGTGTGAGGGGTGTGCCAAAATGAGGCGGCGGTGCCATGCGGACGCTCCGGCTGGGGCCTCTGGTGGAGCTCCCTATGACGATGGTGACGATGATGATGACGATGACGAGGCGGGTGGGAGGAGGGAGGAGGGGGAGGAGGGAGGGGGCAGCGGGAAGGAAGGAAGGCACGGTTGGTCTCTTCACAAAGAGGACCCAACACCACAGGATAGTTGGGAACAAAAAAAGGCCACCAGAGGCCCCCGAGAGGCTCCCAAGGCAGCGCGGTAGACAATCATGGCGGACCAGAGCAGCACGGCAGTCCAGCTGAGAAATGACCTCCACACGGCAGGCCAGTGGTTTGCCGTGCTGGTCGGATTTGCCGTGTTGGTCTGCCGTGCTAGTCTGGTCTGTCGTGTTGGTCTGCTGGTCTACCGTGCTGGTCATGGCTTACAGGGGAGAGGGATTCTTGCGGCGTGGGGTATGATGGAATGGGTAAACCCCTCCCAGAAGGGGCAAGAGGGGGCTTTGGTGGGATCCCGCTGCAGCACGCCCCGTCACCTGTGCCTGTGCAACAGGGCAGCAGGAAGACGGCCGAGTGTACGTCGTCTTCGTCCACGCGGTAGGAAGGAGGTCGAGTTCACGCCCCGCGGCAGTTCAGCGAGTGGTGTGGAACTGGGGAGGGTCATGATCTCGACCTCGTCTTCGTCCGCACGAAGGTGAGGAGGAGGAGGCGACAATGAGGACGAGAAGGAGGAGGCTTCTTGGGACCCTCTTGGGGCATCCTGGGAGCCTCCTGAGGGCCTCTTAGGGGCCTCTTGGAGCCTCCTGGGGTCTCTTGGGGGCCTCTTGGGACATCTTAGGGGACTGTGGGCCCGTCTGACGCCGTCGGAGACCGTCTTGGCGGCCTCTTTGAGCCGTCTAGGTGCCCTCTTGGAGCGCTTCGGGTCCGTCTCGGGGTCCTCCTGGGGGCCCGTTTTGGGAATATTTAGGTCCTCTTGGGCCAACTTGGGGGCCTCGTGGGGGCCTCTTGGGCAAAATATCTTGGCGGCCTCTTGGGCCATATTCCATATTGGGCGGTCGGAAGCAGAGACAGGCGACAACTGCAAATCTTTGTTGTTCGGGATCTCATGGACGGCCTCTTGGGGCCCTCTTGGGCCGTATTAGGAGCGTCTCGGGCTGTTTTGAGGCCGTCTTGGGAGCCTCTTGGGCTGTCTTGGAGCATCATGGGCCGTCTTAGTCGTAGACATCTTAGGCATCATGGACACCCTGGCCCGTTTCGCCTGAGACATTTTGGGGTCCTCGGAAGTCTGGATCCGATCGCCAGGGCCCCGCGGTTCGGGGGATGCCAGCCCATCCGCGGTCGATGCAAATCGGTTTTCTAAGGAACAACGGCCTGTGCGAGCATGTGCGGATGGACCGTGGCCTCCGTGATTACAACAGGCATTATCGGGCATATTTTCGTGATCAGGGTGTTACGCTTGAAGGTGATTTTGAGGAAGGTGATATTGAGGAATGTCGTTCTGGTATTGCCCCGGTGCCAGGGGAAGCCGGGGACCAAGAGGCCAGTAACACAACAAATGGGGGCCCGCCATATATATATATATATATGTATATATACATACATCTTTGTAGATGTATATACATATATGTGTATACAGAAACATACACATACACATACATGTATGTGTGTTCTGCCTGCATGAATGCATGTATACATTTATCGATATAAGCATACACACATATGCGTCTGGAAAATCCACCGCGGAAGCTGTGAGCCGCCAGAGGCGGCGCACGCGGCGAGAGCCATCCCGCCCGTGATGGGTAAATTCGAACGCTTTGGCAAAATGGAACAGCGGCGCCCGAGCACAAGTTGGTTACAATGTTTTTTTTCTGCAGTCGGGTGAGATCACGTTTGCCATGTCATGCATCAGGAGTTTTCTCCCGGAAAGGGCGCCGACCCAGGGTTCTCTTTTAGGCGTTGACCCCCGGAGTCGACCGTTGTAGGGCCGGCGAAATCATTTGCGATAAATAACGAGGTCGCGTAGGGCCGGCGAAATTATGTTTGAGGATGTCTCGAGCGAAACGATTGTTTTTTTCAGAATGTGTTGAGGATTCCTCGAGCGAAAGGCTAGTTTTGTATTACATGTTGTCCTCGCCTGGGGGCCAGAATTCAGAAAATCTCTCGAGTGAAATGCTTGTTTTCACGTGCCCAGGTCTGAGGATGTCTCGAGCGAGACGCTTGGTTTCACGCGTCCAGGTTGCCCAGGCAGATGTCTAGCATGAGGATTTGTTGAGGATGTCTCGAACCAGACGCTTGTTTTCACGCGTCCAGGTCGCCCAGGCGGATGTCTAGCATGAGGATGTGGTGAGGAAGTCTCGATCGAGACGCTTGTTTGCACGTGTCCAGGTTGCCCAGGCGGATGTCAGCATGAGGATGTGCTGAGAAATACTTGAGCGAAACGTTTGTTTTCACGTGTCCAGGTCGCCCAGGCACAGCACAGCCCTCGGCACAGTACATCAAGATCGATACCCTTAGCATTGCAGCCTGGCATTTTGCCATGGCACGTTCCGCGGAGCGTCCCGTGGCGAGTCCCTCTGGCACGTCGCGCGGTGCGTCCCCTGGCACGTCCCGTGGCACGTCCATCGGCACGTTCCGTAGCGCGTCCCCTTGGCACGTCCCGCGGTGCGTCCCCATGGCATGTCCCCTGGCACGTCGCCTGGCGCGTCCCTTGGGACGTTCCGCGGCGCGTCCTTCTGGCATGTCCCCTCTATCGATTAGTTCTGGGGCAGCTACCATCTGCTCAGGCAGCTCGAGCTTAAGATCCAGATCATTTCGGTCAGGACTCGGATGCAAAGGAGGACTCGATCCACAAAGCTATGTAGAGCACAACCGCGGCATGGCACATTGCAATTCAGCACGGCGCGGCACAGCACAGCCCTCGGCACGGTACATGAAGGCCGATACACTCAGCATGGCATCTGCCCGTCGCCCAATCAGGTGTCTTTGAAACGTCGCCGTGCCTTACACTTCTATATATATATATATATATATATTCCTTTCCGGGTTCGTGGGTCGATCATGTTCCAGAGCCAGGAATCTCAGGAATCTTTTCCCAACCCACCTTCTTCACTTTTGGTCAGGGGCTCATCCTTCCCCCCACCCCACGCCGATATACCCCCCTGCTCTAAGCCATGACCAGCGCGGCAGACAGGACCAACACGGCACACTGGCACGGCAGGCCAACACGACAGAGCGGCACATCCAGGTTTTCGGGTTTTCCCGGGGGATGTTTGTGAAGGTTCCAGAAACTCTCGTGGTCAGTATCGCTTCACCGACCCCCATCCCCATCCCCTTCGAGACCCCCACCAAATTACCCCCCCAGTTGGGGATGCACCCCTCGACACCCCAAGGATGCGGCCTATATCCCCATCCAGGGGGGTACATCGGCCAGTGGGGCCCAGGCCACGCCGCCGGGGATGGGGATCGGATAAACGATGCTCACGTGGGTCGTTGCCCCGGGGCGCCAGCGCCTCCGGCTCTGCAGATTGGGAGTCCCGAAACGGTGCGATGACAGACCGTGCGGTGACCTCGAAATCCCCCAAGACCTCACCGCACGGTCCGTCACCGCACGGTCTCGGGACCTCGGAGGCCCCTGTCGCCCGAGATGTCCTCGGAGAACGACCCGAGTCCCAAAACCGTGGGGTGACCCCGAGTCCCCACCGACTCACCCACCGCACGGTGTGGTCACCGCACCGTTTGGGGGGCCCCCGAGCAGAGTGCTCTGCGGCTGGCCAACGTGCAGGGCACAGACGGTTATTCCATCCGCCTGAGAACGGGACCTCCTCCTCCTCCTCCTTGCGCCCCATTGCTTGGCATCGCTCGGTCGTGTGCATTTTTCCTTCGGCGAGGACCATCGAGGAGCATCCTTGATCACTTGGCGAAACAACTGCGCACGAGACCGACAAAAGCATAGGGAATGGACGTCCGAGCGATGACCCCATTGGCACTCACAAGTTGTAGCTGTACACCATTTGCTACGCTGTACAAGTCTGCTCGGAAACCATCGAGACGCTGAAAGGACCCGCCGGTGAAGCGCTCTAGACCACTCGTGCCCTAAAAGAGCTGGTAGTATTAATAATGTGAGTTTGCCTTCGGTGTGTTGCTTAACGCTGCACGTGCGGTGCGTGATATACTTAAAAGTGGGCTACCCCCAGGGAGGCAGCACATTCAACATGTGCATGAGGAAATGAAGTACACATTCATTGTGAAACGTCATGCGGCTCTCGTCTTCGCAGCCGTGCTCATCTTTGCAGCGAAAGCCAGAGGGTCTTAGGGTCTTCATCTTCGTAACTGCCGCCATTTGCGACGACAATCGGGA